TTAATTCTATCATGTCTTATTTATGCATGGAAATAAGTTGTATTACATTCTTATAAGTTGAGATTATGAAATTTTTTTTATGTGATATAAAAATTTTGAATTGTATAAATGAAAAAAAAAGTAAAATTTGTGTAAAAATTGGGTGGTAGATATGTAATTGCCCCCAACAGTACATTGCTAGGGGTTGAAGTCGTAATGAATTCAGTTGGTCTGCAGTGTTGGTTCTAAAACTATTACATAATCATTACAAGAACTTTCACAAAAGAATTATTTTACAGTGGTTTTGAACCCTGACCAAATGTTCTTTTATTTTCTTCTTCTTATTATTTTTTCAGTGAGGCAACCTGCCACTGTGTGCACGTTTTGTGACGATTATGCAAATACATATTTTTGTGACTGAATTTTGTCATTTATTTTATACATATGCAAAACTTTATGTACATGACTATTGCATAAATAAATTAGAATCCAATTATGTTTAAAATAACTTGCTCTTATGAAATGATTTTTTTATTTATTTTCATGAATCATTTGATTAACGAAGCAAGAGTTGTATGCGTCTTAGGGTTATATGAAAATCTAATACAAACTCGAGTAATTAAATTAAAGAGAAATAAGCAGAATGTGTCACCTAAATTTTTACATGGAGAACCCGAGAATAGGAAAAAATTGTGTGGCCTAGCCCAGCTGAAATGATCTACTAAAAATGGTGAGTGCACAGGTTTACTATTCTCCTGAATTAGGGAAGATGGAGTTATAAAGTATGTTATTTTAAATGTTTAATAATAGTTGATCGATAATGGTCGTAGTCTGGCTGTAATGAATATCATTCTTAATGATGCCTTGTTGTAAGGGTTGTTATTGATTGCTAGGTTGGCAGTAGTCCGCCTTGAATGTTATATACGTTGGTTGTAGCTTTAACTTTTCATATAGACTATTATTGAATGTCATGGAAGTAGTTACTTGTGTAGGCTATGGATGGTTTCTTCAAGAGTATTAGTTGGCCAAAGAAGTCATACTAGAAACTGCAAATTTGTTAGCCACATAGGTCATAGTTGGTAATATATGTTGTAGTGGTGAGTTGCAATATAATGATTGTAGGATGCATTGGCCCAAGTTGGAGTTTTATGGACCGTGGAGCGCGTAGGTCATATTTGGTCATGTAGATCGTGGTGATGAGCTCTAATAACATTCGTAGGCTGCAAATGTTGGAGTTGAGAGCTACACGAGTTTTAGACCAGTAATTGGTCACATAAGTCGTAGTGATGAGTTGCAATAAGTCCCATATGTTGCAGAGGCTGAAGTTGGGAGCTACACGAGTCGTGAGCCACACAGGCAAGTTGGTCACACAGGCCGTAATGGTGAGATGTGATGACATCTATAAACCACAGAGGCCAGAGTCAGGAGCTGCGCGAGTTATAAGACATGTAAGTCATAGTTGGTTACATAGATAGTAGTGGTGATTTGTAATAATGTCCGTAGGCTTTAAAGGTAGCGTCGGGAGCTGCACGAGTTATGAGCCATGTAGACCGTAGTTGGTCACATAAATCTTGGGGGAGAGCAGTGATGAAAGAGCTTTAGGAGTCCATAGAAAGTCACTATTTTTGTGGTGCGTTGGTACACCATACTAAGGAGGCGTCATTGCACCGTATGTGGGTTATATTATTAGATCTTCATCGAGGTATATTATTGCACCGTATTCAGGATGTGTGCTGCTACTCCATCATTGGGCTGCACGTTGAATGGTGTATTGAATGACGTATTGCTGCATCGGGGCTTCAATGTTCCCAAAGATATCTTGAGATTGTTCAATGAACGTTATGACTCCACAAGGAACTTCTCTAAAAGAAGTAGGTTTTTGATCAATAGTGGTCGGCGATAGGGGGTGGCCAACAATGGTAGACGATACCTGGTAGGTCGTGTTCAACGATGGTCAATTACTGAATTCCTTAGATCCTCAGTGCAGAAACGATATTGGGCTTGAGTTTCTTCTTCTCCAAGCTTAAGTCTTCTTTTGGTTCCAGGTGTATGTTTCCTCTCAAGAGTGGAGTAGGATTCTATTTATAGTGTCAAGGTACCGATTAAAGAAGCAATCCAAACCACTCCGATCGAATGAACTAGAGAGCTTCCCTCGAGCAGATGACATTTGGTGGGCCTTTAAGTACCTTAATAATGTCAAAATTGAGTGATCTTGAATTTGTTGGATTTGTTATGTCGAGATACTCGATTTGACTATAAGCTTCTCAAATTTGTAATTTGTTTAACTTTCTAATTACACACTGAAAATTTTAAAAAGCGGTTTAACGGTTGATCATGGTTTTATCTGATTCGGATTGAGTCAATTTTGGTAGCATTAGACCTGGCTCATTGAACTGGTCAGTTTGACTGTAAGCTTGTTGAAATCAGAGGTCTAGCTAATTTTTAATTAAAGTTTTTACATTTCTTATTAGAAATTATCTTTACGCCGAAAGATAAAATTTGTTGGTGGCGTATGATTGATAAATATATTTGTTTGAAAGGTCATACTTTTTATTCCTTTATTTTTACTAATCATGACCTATTATATATTAAGGGAGTGTTTGTTACGATACTTTTAGTATGATTTAAATTAACTATAACGTAAATTCGGCCAAACACTACAAATAAGTTAAATAAATGCTACCCAATTTATTGTTGTTTTGTTTATTAAATCCAAATTTATTAAGTCCATTTATTTGTTAGATTTAATGAGTTTAACATAGGAAAAAAAAAAGATTTTGAAAGGATTTATGCCGAATAAATCAAATGGATTTAATTGGAAAATTTTTATGTTTAGGACTAAGCACGGCTTCATGGAAGAAGAACCATAGTGAAATAAATGTTTAAAGCTCTTGTGACAGCCTATGCGGAAGAAATACCTACTTGGCCACTTCATCTTATATATATATATAATTTTAATCGATTATAAATTTCAAAAAAGAATCAAGAACCATGAAATAGTAGCGGACAAATTGAGACTCAAGGGCTCAAGGGCCAGTTTACAGACCACACACACACACACACATATATTATTGGCTTTTGTAATAAGTTTGTCACATCTAATGTTGACCTTTAGCGAGATCAAAAAATTAATATGCCGTTTGTTTAGCCCCGTGATGAGTGCTACTGTCTATGGAAGAATTAACATTTGTTAATTTGAGAGTAAGTTGAGCAAACCATAGCCAACAAATACGTCTTTATGTTCATCAAACTTGCAATATGGTAACACTTTCAAAATTATTTGCAAAAAGATTACTTTAAGCCATACCGTGTTATTAGTGATCGGACCACTCGTAGTAAATGCGATCGCTTAATCAAAATGACAAAATTTTGTGTTGCCTCTAGCTACTAGCCATAGGTTGAAACAACTAGAGAACTGTCACAATTCAAATATATGTGGATTGTGGACAACCGTCAAAATTTTGTTTTTTATTTAGCTTTGAATTATGGCCACACACTTACAACAATCAATCTTACAACAAAAAAATTATTTGAGAATGATTATCAATCGCAATTAGCCTTGCGAGAGTAACTGTGTAAATCAAATGTGCGTCTACATGAATCTCGAGAAAATCCAACTGCAAAAAGTTTGGATGAGCACATCTAATGATGGTCCACTGGCGGAATATTAAGAGTCCAATATAAGAAAAATAAAGGTTTACCGATGGAATATCGAAAGACCTATCTAACCAGGTGCAACCTCTCTAAGCTGGATTTGAAGTCGACCGAGCGAAGGTCATTCAGACCAAAGAATAATGCCCATCAATCTGAACGAAGGCATCGATCTACATCTTGTCATAACTCGGCTCAAATGGAAAATGCAGCAAACACATTTATCTCGTAGGCACCCTTGAGATTTTGCTCGGTATACTAGTATTGTTTTGTCGGCATGAGTTCATTGCCAAGAGATCAATAGTTACAGCTGTTAACGAATTGATTTTGAGCCGAAGTGGGGTGGGCACATAATCGTCTCAAAAAATTTTCAATACAAAATTTTGGTTCGTAGCTTGACTTGTTTATTTCAATCCGATTTCGATCTGAGCCAAAAATTCAAATCAATTTTTGAGCGATTAACGATCTTCGAGCTAAATTCGCTAAATTCACAACTCTAAAATTAGTATAACTATTAATGATCTAATTTCGAGCCGAGCTGGGATCGGCTCAAAAAAAAAAAAAAATTTCAACCCAAAATTTTAGCTTGTGGCTTAGCTTTTTTATTTTGATCCGATCTTGTTCCAATCTTAAACCGATCTCAATATAAGTCAAAATTCATATTAATTTTCGATCAATTAACAACCTCTGAGCTACATTCACAACCCTATCAATAGTTGGCAACCAGACAAGCGTAACCAATCGTCGACAAAATGAAGTTGATCGAGTCAAGTCTTGCTACTCGAAGACCATCAAGTGCCAACCAACAAACCTAATTCAGCTCAGCATAATGAGCAAGTTTTTCCGAACTAGAACCCTTTTATTTCAGTCTCCTAAAATATGCAATAGAGTTTTTTTCACTTTTTATCCTTAAAAAAATTATTTGATATACCTTTCCTCCCAAAAAAAAAAAAAAAAAAAAAAAAAAAAAAACTTCAATTTCTTTGCAATCTTCACCAATTGGGACCTATAAAACATGGGCTGATATGTAATTTATTTAAAAAGGTCCGGAAGCAGAAATGTGGATTATGTAAAATTGGACATTGCATCCAACGACAAAATTCTCCACAAATCTTAACGTGCAAGCAACCCCGGCTACGTCCTTGCCAATGTCCATCACAATTGATCATCCACCACCCAATACTTTACCTCCAACATCAGCCCGAAAGTACGCTTCAAACTGTAAGTCCGATATATAAAAAATAAAAATAAAAAAATCACTAGAAAATACCTAACATAACCCAAATAAATAAATAAATAATAAAAATAATAAATTAATATATTAATATCCCTCTCACACCTACTGCGTCTGCTTTCACTGCTCCACTCACCTCACAAGCAATGAGAAATAGCATAACTGCACTCCTCCTTTCTTAACGGAAATGCTTTACTCTTCCCTCTTCCAGTTCTGCTATATATATTAACCATCCAACTGTTCGATCATATGCCTAGAGAGAGAAAGAGAGAGCGAGATGGAGGATCTCAAAGGGCTTGGCCACTTGTTCGCATGTGCCTTTCTCTACACCTTCGCAACCTGCACCGTGATTCCCTCCATCACCGACGTCACCATGGAAGCGCTTTGCCCCGGCGAGGACCGCTGCTCCCTCGCCATTTATCTCACCGGTTTTACTCAGGCTGTAAGTTAATCCTTTCACATAAATTAATTCATAATACTTCATAATTAAGTCTTAACAGTTCTTAATTAAGATGCTAATTAGCATCGTTAAACTTGATGCCGTTTTGTCTAATTGAGTTGGAAAAATTATTTAAGAAGAAGATTGTAGGAGTGTTAATTAATCGCTGAATAATCTAAATGAATTATGGAAATATATCTTCAACGAAATTTGATTTTGTAATTTTAACAAAAAGTAATTATTTTAAAGTGCATTTATTTAATTTGAAGAAAATTTTAAAAATTTAAAACTAAATTTGATTAAATTCTAATAAAAAAAATCTGATCTAATTTTTATTCATGATTAAAAGATAGAATAATATGTGAATATAATTCTAATTTACTTTTTAACAAAATTTTGAGACAAATAATAAAAAACTTACTTCATAAAAATGGAATATATTTGGAAAATAATTGCAAAATAGCTATTTTATATTAAAATAGCACTCAAATCACTTTTTACTGAAAGATAAATATCTTATATATACATTTCTTCCAATTTATCTTTTGATTTATTTTCAACTTCTCACACACACACACACACACACACACACACACAGATATATATATATATATATATACATATATCATATAATTACGCAAGTACCGGTACTATGTGTTGACTAATATTAATTATTAGTAAATCTGGTATACGAGGAAGCAATCGCATTTTAGCCGGTCCTTTTACTTCAACCAATATTGTTGGTATACATATAGTCTATATTTTTTTAACATAAATAAATTCAGAATTAAAAAAAATTAGTTTACCAATTAATTAAAATTTATGACGAGAGGAACGTATAACTGTACAACTAGAAGATACGTATTAATTTCATATAATAATATAAAAAAAAAGCTTTGCATATATCACTCAGTTTTTTTATATTTACATATCTAACACCTAAATTTCAATATATCCATATATGTGACTGCTTATTTATGCATGAAAGTTCCATTACACATCTTAAAAGTTAAAATTGTAGAGATACAAAAAGCAAAATTTAAGTATTAGATATGTAAATACATAGGAAATGGGTGGATATAAAATAGGAGCAGAATATAATGAGATAAAGCTAAATTGAAAATGCATGGATCTAGGCATTGAAACCTTATTAATTTTTTTAATCTAATTTAACTAATTTTAAAAGAAAATTAATATAAAGTGGAAAATTTGTTGCTTTTATTAGCTTATATAATATTTTTTATTAACTGTCTCATAAGCTAATAATTTAGTTTTCTTCAGATCACTGGCTTGGGAACTTTTTTGGTGACTCCTGTGATTGGAAATCTATCAGACAAATATGGTCGGAAGACTATGCTTACACTTCCCATGACAGTTGGAATAATCCCCTTAGGTAAATCATATCCACATTAAATTAATTTCGTTCTAATTTTTTTTTAATGGAAAAAAAATGACGAAAAAGAAACAAAGCATTGATCTCTTAAATTATTTCTATCTCAAAATTTATAAAAATATCAAAATAGTCCGTAAATATTTTCATAGGACTATTTTGACACTTCACTCGAATACATAGTTATATCTTTATTAAAATTTGAAAGATAATTTAATGAATAAAGTTAGTCTAGCTAAACGGTCATCATCGCGCAAATCTTTTTTTTACTGCCGACCATTTAACCGGAGTTAGTAAAAAGTGAATCTAGATGCTCATCGTGCAAAGCTTTTCTCCACTGCCGACCATTTTAACCAAAGTTGGATTTATATGTTGAGATGTATAAAGGTTGATTCTATAAAATATGCTTTCCATATGTTCGTCCGGAAGCCCCATAAAGCAAAGCCAAGTTTAGGAGATCAGAAGGTTGCCGAAAGCCCACGTAACCTTCCAAAGGCATCTCCTTTGCTTGGGGAGACGTCCACTTCTTTGAATCGAACATAACTAGCTTTTCAAATGAAGAATACTATGTGGTTTAAAACAAAAGAGTTATATATATATATATATATATATATATATTAATTTTGTTTTTTAAGATAAATATTTTTTTAATTATCGATAAATTAAAGTTGTTTAAAAATAGAAATTGATATTAATTTTTTCTACAGAATAGACAGACAACCAAATAAAATCGATTGGCAAAAAACCATGTAGAGGAAATGTCGCATTCAATTATGATTTATTTCGATTTACTTAGGATTCTTTTGCAATATAAATTTAATTACAGTTGAAATGATTTCTCTGTAGAACCCCAATGGCCCAGAGTGATAGAGATTATTATATATGGAGATCCGGATGATTAGTTTCTTAATAACGAATAGTCATTCGGCAATTATTTTAATTAATTATTTTGACTGATGGATTGTTTCTTTTGACGGCTGTTATTTAGATTTTGGGGCGTTTACATATATACCACACAGTTCCTGCCATTTACATATCTCACATCAAAAGATTGCGTGGTAATTATGTAAACTTGAATCCGCCTTCTTTGAATTTTTCATATTATTTCTAACTAATATGTTGTGAATTCAAGCACAACTGTTGGATTGATGTGTTGAGCTCGTGTCACTAGAAAAAAAAAAAAATTTATATTTTTGAAAACAAATTATAAAATAAAGATTCATAGATACCACCTCATTCTTATGTATTTACAGATCTAACACTTAAAAAATTTGATTTTTGCATATATGCCATGTTACTAATGCATAAAAATGTGTTTTACACATATTTAAATAAAAATGGTGATACTTTTTTATATGATATGAAAGATTTAGAATATATAAATGTAAAAAGTAAATTTTAGGTGTAAAATATGTAAATACATAGGAATAGGGTGGCACGCATGTAAACGCCCCAAAGGAAAATTTGTAAACTTATATACCACTCAATTCTTATGTATTTACCTATCTAACAACTAAACCTTATTTTTTACATATTTGCCACTGTATCTTTGGATGAAAAGGTGTACTTCAAATTTTTAAAACCACAATACTGATATATATATATATATATATATATATTTATTTATTTATTTATTTATTTATTTATTTTAG